CATGGGGCATACATGAAAACATGCTTGTTTGGAGCATAGCAGCACTCGCAGCCCCCCGCCTGCCCAACACTGGCAAGAACCTGGAAGCTTGTCGCTTGACACAAAACGACACAGCCAGCTGGCTGACAACCGACCCCTTTGCAAAGATCTTTTTTCAGACAAAGAAGACGGCGGCGGCGTCTTTCGTTTTGGAGAAGGCTTATCTTGACCAAGGTGTTGCTAGACGCACGAAAGATCCACCCGATTTTAGTCGCGACGGTTGTCCTATACAAACAGTCAAACACAATCCCCGACGAGTAAAGGATCTTGGGCCGGAGGCCGTGTAAACAGTACCACACCTCCAATTTGCGGGGCCTGTGAGTCAGCGGCTTAACTATGACTAGCTGCCAGGCTCAGCAACCCAAGAACCTGATTTGCTCCAGGGCCGGTTTTGGCGCAACGTTGAGGACAGCAGCAATAGGAAATGAGATTCCTTGACATCCAGCATGGCTGCGCAACCTTCGCCTTTTTGCCAAGCGCGGCCCTTGGCCCCAGCGCCTGCACAGCGCAAGAAGTACAAAGCGGCACGCCACAGCGAAGCTTGGGTGCGCAAGTTTGCTCTAAAGTGCGTCACTAGGCAATGGGGTATGCGCAGTGAAAAGTTGCTGTGTGCGTGTGAGTGAATGGGTGCTGCGATGTGGGAACGCGCAATGGAGATGCGCAGCGAGTAGTTGCTCTGCGTGTGCGCGCACTTGCAATGGAGTAGGTGCACAGTGTGTGTGTGTGTGGCTGCGTGACTGTGAATGCGTTGTTTCCACTGGTTTTCAAGCCAAGAATGCTGTGGCAGAACCAACAAGCATACCGGAACAAGTGTCACCTGCAAATGTAAGAACCTTGAAGTACCTTCACAACAAACATGGCACTTCAGCAACATCCTCAATTCCATCGTGCTCCAGCAACAGCACGCGCAACTTTCGCGCTTGACCTGTGCGACAGCGAGAGCCGTGCCACTGGGCAACTTTCCGAGACTGTGGCGAACCCGTGGCTTGGAGAGACCGCGGCGAACCCTGCGAATTGAGGTAACCCCCGCGCGATCTCACGACTTCGTCCACTCTGTTACTTCTTACTGCCTTTTCTTCCCTTCGCATCCTCTGGGTCAACGTGCTACGGATGTTTTCTAATTACTAAGCTCCTTTGGATCAAACGTGTGTTTGTGTGTGCGCACATGTGTGTATGTGTTTACACACATTAGCATATGTGTGTGTGTGCGTGTTCTCATCATTGCGTGGTGTTAGTGCGGTTGTCTTCTTGACGTGTGTGAACGGTTTTCACGTTGCGCCCTCCCAATGGCCAAAATCAGGTAGTCCGCCAAGAGGAAGCAGTTGGGCTTTAGCTGGTAGCAAAAGGGAAATCAAACAAATCCATTTTAGGGGACCACGAATTTGAGACCCTTCATCTGTCGCATCCATCCATCGCATCCATCGCTTGAGCCCAAAATCCACCGGCCGGGCGGATCTGGCAAAAGCTATATCGGAGAGTAAAACGTTCCCTTTGAGTAGATGCCCTTGAGCTTTCTACATTTACATATGCACACATATTTATACATATATGTACAGATATGCACAGTACATGCAGCATGTCCGGGCCTCTTGCCTTCAGGATTTGAGGTTGGCAAAACCTGAGGTCAAATCCGCAAAGGGAGTTCAGCCCAAGCTGCAGCACAAAAACCTGCAGAGCAACTGTTTGCTTGGTTTCGAGCCAAGAACAAAAGAGAATTCCGACTCACGCCCAAATATGCGGCCCTAGCATCACCTGCCCCAAGCTGCCCCGCGAGCGCCAGTCCATGGCCCCCTGAAGCGCAACTCACTGCGAGAGATGACCTGCTCGATGAGCTCAATTCCAGCAACTGGTGCATCCACGGCTTGTCTTCCACATTTCAAGGTCAGCAGGGCATGCAGGAATTGTTCGAAGCACGCTTGGTTCTTCTGGGGATCGTTTGGAGGAAAGGGTTCTCTTGCGTGACCAGTCTTCCGTGATGCGCAAGCGGCGACAGGGGCACCACCGAAGGGAATCCGCTTTGCAGACAACGCTTGTCCTCGCCATGATCAAAGCATCTTGTTGCAAAGAAAATCTGCTTGGCAACGCCGCTCGTCTGTGCTGTGCCAGAATTCTACTTTCTTCATGGGGGTGTTCACCAGCTGGGCCAAGACACAGGCATGCCCAGCGACCAAAGGGTTGCAGGGCTCATGGTGGAACCATGGTTTGTTTGCAAAGGGCACCTGGGCCTGGACTCTAGTTTGCAATCGGAAGCAATTGAGTTCGCCAGCTCGAGCGGGTACCCGCTTTCCAACAACCATGGAAGCAGGCCCTGTCACGTCTCCAACCACACCATCCCCAAACACGTTCGTCTTCCGAGACTCACGCGGGACCTTGCTTCAGCCGCCCTCTGGCAGTTCGCCTTACATGCATTCGCGCCGAGCACGTAGCATGTCAGGGGGCGGGGGGGGTAAGCACACCCCGCAATCAGCACCGTATCCACACATGTCTCTCCACACATGTCAACGCTCAAGGCATCCGTGCGTGAGAACGCCCGCTCAAGTGCACCGCCTGTTCAGCACTGCATCCAATGCATCCACACTGGTAAGCACACCCGCTCACCCGTTCAGCACTGTATCCACAGGCCACCTGCATTTTTTCAAGCTTGGCAGTTCTCAGGCATGTCAAGAAAACTCCGAGCCGCAGCCGGCTCAGAAATTCTTGGAACGCCCCGGACTTTGAGCCTCCTATGGCCTTGCTTGAAAGGCCATGTCTTTCCTTGAGCCTTACATCTTGCGTGAACAAGACCGCTCCGGCACCTGCCTGCGGAAACTTTCTCTGGCCTGCACCACGCCAGTGCCACACCACCCTGGAACCTGCGAAACCCTGCTTGAACCTTCCAACTCGCCAGACCGCAGGACACTAAGCATGGATGGGAGGCTTACATGCGCGTGCGAGACTTGCGCGTTTTGATCACGTGCGTGTGCGAGGCTCGGGCGTTTTGCCTCATTACATGCGCGGGCGAGACCCACGAAGACTTGCCAAAAGTGCCGTGCCTGCCACGAAAAGAAGCAAAATACATGTGTGGGCGAGACCCAAATCACGTGCGCCTGCGAGACGAACATCACCTGCGCTCGCGAGGCCGTGACCCTGTTTTCCTCTTGTGAAACCATCCCAAAACAGGTCCCATTTTTAAGACAGGTATTGTTTATGTATTTGGAGGGGAGGTGGTATATTTCTATGTATTTATTAAATCATTTATCTATGGATTTATACATTTATTTATCTATCCCCAAGTGGGGAGTCTGAAAACAGCTGCGGATATGGCTGCGGCACGGAAGGTCTGCAACTCGCAAGCTTGAGGGCCCTTCTCTAAGAGGGGTTTGCACTACCCCCAAACCACCCCCCAAGTCACCAGGGAACTTGGGAATCCACCATGCCCCGTTTAGCTAGGGGGGTTGGTTTGCGGGTCGTGGAGACCCTTTTTGGTAGAAAAAGCCCGCGGAAGCATTCGCACATAAAGCGCCCCCCACTGGTTGGCAGGTCAACCAGAACCTTATCTTTGGGTTGGTTCCCACTTACAGCAGCGCAAAAAGAAAAACATCGAAACAGGTGCAAATCCAACATGTAAACAAAGACTAAAGCTCGCAAGTTCACACACTGACGGAGACAAAGCCTAAAGTTCACGGGGTTGAGACACAGGTCGCCCTGAGGTTCCCTGACAAAATGGCCAAAGTCCACCACAAAGACTCCCTTCCCCACCGTTTTCCCCTGATTCCCCCCCACCCCCAAGGTCGCCCCGAAGCTCCCGAACAAAAATGGCCAAAAGAAGCTGTAGCATCAAAAGTCCAGGGCAACCAGCCCCAAACCCCCCAAACCGCGACTGGACCCTGCAGGTTCCCCACCGGTCACCACTCGTACCGAGCCCGGCGCTGTGTCCTTCCGATCGAAGCTCCTGTCCAAGCGGGGAAAATGGGGCTTTGGAAAGGTAGGTGTGGGGGGTTGGGCTTGGAAGGGAGGTTCTTCCGACCTTCCCTGCCAAGCCTGAAAATGGCCATGGCCACATGGTCCTGTCCCCTAGGCGGCAAGGGTACCCAAACTCCTGGTAAGGTGAATAATCCCTTCTCCCGAATCAAAAACCGTCCCCCCGCCAAAGAAAACCTTGGAGGGGGGTTTATTATTAGGGGTCGCCGGTTTTGGCCTCAGATATAGTTCATTGTTTGCTGCTTAGTATTGGAAAGTGGATCCCCTTTGATCTGCAGGAGAAAACGCTCAGATTCCAACTTGTAAGTGACAACTCTGAAAGGGACATTCCCGCTGTGATTTGTTTGGAATGTTTGAGGTTGGCGCGCCCGTTGGCTTAAAAGAAAACATGCTTAGGATGCAACTTTTGAGTAGCAACTTGGAATTGCAAAGGAAAGGGGCTTACTTCCGTTGGAGACATAGCTTGGAACCTTCGTGTTTCAACACATTATGGGTGGGGGGGGGGGTTAATAAGCCCATTTTAAGAGCCTGGTGGAAAACATGTGCGGTCTCAGGAGTTTAGCATTGGTTTGGTATCTGCTATTTCAGAATTAGTAGTTGTGGTTTTTGGCGCGGCTGAGGGGAGTTCGATCATTAGGGGTAGGTTGATGAATAGGAAGAAGGGATTACCCCGGTCGATACCCAAAGACCTAGTGACCTGTTTTGGGTACGAAAACTGGTAAAGGGGCGTACCTTTCAAACCCACGTCAGGAACGAAAGGGAAAATCTCCGCAGATATCCTTACCCTTCATCTTTCCAGGTTTAGGATTGTGACTCAGATCAGGCAATCACTACTTTGCTATAGGAATTGGTACATATATGGCCATGGGTCATAACCTATGCCTCCATTTTGGGACGATTTTGATGTTTATGAGGGGTACAGGGTTTTGACAACCTCTTCCCGCAGACAAGCCTCGCCCGCCCTCGCCCAGAGATCACGAAATGGCGCGGCGCTTTTTTGGCTAACATCGGCTAGAGTAGAGCACGAAGATGTCATCGTTGTCGGCCAAAAGCCTCGCTTCAACTTCTCAACTTGGTGTGTGATGAGCATGATGCATGGGGCCCAACTGGGTTACCTTTGTTTTCAATAACCTCCGGAGGGAAGAAATAAGCTCTGGTGATATCCCCAACAGCAAGCGGTGCTCTTGTTGGTGCTCGCCGCATCCCTCGCAGAACCTCGTGGAACGTTCCTGGAACCCTGGTGGAACCCTGGTGGAACCTTACCTCAGGGCCGGACCCCGCAGCCTATCTGGGCTCATCGACCCCAAAGCTTCCAGCTGCTGGGGGGGCGGGGGGGTTCCAACCTTGGGCCTCCAAGGTGTTGAACTTTCTGGAAAGGCCCACTTGGCCCTTGGCAGGTCCATAGCTCGACAAACTACTAGCTTCATGTGTTGACCATCAAAGTCGCCCCCCCGAAACTTCGTAGTGTAAAGAGGGGTCAACCCCAGTGACTGACCAAAGATAAGTCCCAAAAACTGCCCAAACCATAAAGCAACATGGGCATTACGAACGCCTCCAGAACGGGTCGCCGTCCTTGCCTGGTTGTAACTGTTTGGGACATGGACTTCAGAATCAAAAGTCAGCTCTAAATCGGAGTTTCTCACAACGGAGCCCCTGGTTGGTATTTCAAAGGCACCGCTCTTTTCCGGGAGCCCCATTTTGCAACACCCCAACATTCCTCCAAATGGCTCGGAGAACATGGTTCAAACCAAACAGATTCAGGCTGGGTCCAAAGTGAATGCTCAAGACTCAAGATGACCCTTCTTTCATTGCCGCACCGATCAATTAACCCATCTGGTTCATAAAGGAGGTGTTTGTCCTGGGATGTTCGAAAGCGAGGCCAAGTACTGAAGTGAAAGCTTGGCCGCGCGCAGGACCAGACCCTCGGTCCCAAACTTACTCTTGGGGGTTGCCAAGCAATGTTGACCCCTGATTAATAAACCTCCCAGTTATTAATCAGGGTCCCAGTTATTCATCAGGGGGTTCCCTTTTTGGCCAGAAATCGATGGGTGTCCCTGGTAAATGGGGGCATAAAACCCATCCATGTCTAACCAGACTAACCGGCCGAAAGGACACCGTTGGTTCAACCAAGCATATCTTCCAGGTAGCTGGAGTCCATCAGTGAGATACCAAGTGTTATGGGAAGCTGCTTCGATTCCAAACCCCTGGGGTGTCAGAGACACAGCTCCGACCAACGGGGTAACCTCCAACAAGTGCTTCCAGAATTTGGGTCGTCAATCCCCCCGTCCCCCAACATGGCCTTCCTTTTGGCTCCCCTTGGAACCAACCTGAGAACCTGTACCAAGCCTCGAAAAACACGAGCCCGTTCGGAAGACAAAAGAAAACAACTCCAACGGGAGAAAACAAAAAACTCAAAAAACCTCGGCGCAGCCCAGTCACTTCATCCCTTGCTGCGACGTCCAGTTGCCTGCAAAGTCGAACCCTTGGCCGGCAAATCAACGAGTTCGCTTGGGCGGCTGCAACAAATCCAACGTGGGAAGGGAGGTGGGCACGCCCAACTTGATCTGAATCAGCGCCATGTTGGGCGTATGTCCCAAACTTGGGGATTGCCCCGCTGGCTCGCTGTTGAAGGGATATGGTCTGCCCTGCTACGTGAATCATCCCGGCCAGGTCTCTTGATTCCAATTAAGGCCATTAAACTTGGCCCATTTTGCTTTGGCTTCCATTTGCTTGAGCCCCTGGGAAAAAAAAAGAGAAATGTCCAGTGGTGATATAAATTCCCTCAAAAACCACTTCAAAACCAAAACATTTCAGCAAAAGGTTCGGTTTGCTGAGGCACTTCAAGGACTAGATTTCACCGTCTCGGTCTTAATCGGAACGCTTCACATCCTAACGTTCGCTGTTTACCAGCTTCCACATCCTCAGAAACCTCCCGGAGCTCCGGGAAAATCGATTCCGGAAGCTCGCCGAATCAGCACAGGAATAAAAGCCCTTAACAAATTTACCAAAGGATAGGATACTGGACAAAAAACGTCTGGAGGTGCAAAGGCCATCGCCAGTTGCCTTCCTGTTGATGTTTTCTGCTGCCCGAGTTCCAGATTAGTGCTCAGGTGTGAACTTGAACTAAAAGACGTCATTTCGGTACTTCAGTTCGGCAAAAACCCATCAAAAACCACAACAAATGGGTGTGTCTGTGTGTGTGTGTGGGGTAGTTGAGAGTAGAACTAGATTCTAGCTATCAACCTGAAAGCAGAGCAGGCCCCCCCAAGACAGGAACCTTCAGTTCCAGAATCCGTCCAAGGCCAGGCTTTTCTGGCAACGTGGATTTAGTTTCCGGGCAATGACAAACTCACAGCTCCAATTGAACATGTACCAGGTGGCATCTTTGTTTGAGGGTACCCTGTTTGGGGTTGGTTTTTAAAGAACAACCAAAGGGAAATCACTCGTTTTGGGGTGTCCCCATTTTAAGACGCACGCACCAATGAACACAGCACGCAAAAAGTCTTCACTGGACTGGAGCGCCCAAAACCCATCGACTTCCAGCTCTTTGTGAAGGCCCGCATAGGCCTTGATATAGGCCCAGACCACCTAAAGGAAAGCTGGAATGGTTCGGTGACATGGAATCATGTGTACCTCCCTGTTTGGCTTGCCATAAGATGAGTTTCTTTTTACAGGTGATGTTTACAGCTACATTGCAGAACCAGCTACTAGAAACGGCCAATCACATTTTGGACTCTCTGGTGAGTTTTGTTGTTTCATTCTGGTTCGCGCCGCGCCTTGCTTCAGCAATGTCTGGAAGTCCACCCCGTCGATACGCCTGAGCACGCTTAGAAGCCGCGCGAGGTTGCGGCAACACTGCTCTTGAGAAGAACTCTCGTGTAGCACACTTCGCCATCAACCAGCCCACTCAGGCACATCAGCGGATCTTTGACTTCGTCTTCTTAGCGTTGGCCTGGTCTTACTATGTCCTCCTGTAGCGCGGTCCGGTCCTTCCCTCCAAAGACCGCACAAGCGAGCAACAGACCGGTGGAAAACCTCAACGCCCCCCCCCCCCCCCTGCAAAGTCGCTCGAGAACCCCTCAAATAAACAACCATTTTCAGGAGCCCAGAAAAAAACGGGGAACCCTTTCCAATGGGCAGAAACTGGAAACCGCCAAGGAACATCGGAAGGTCCAACTAGAACTTGTTCGCGGAAACCAATCCACACTCGCCATGTCACAAACCTTCCAAATACAGGACCTGCATCCTAGGTTTTCGCTCGTGTTACCCAAAACAAATCCCACACCAACAAACAGACATATGGGCGTCGTGTTTTTGAGGCTTGGTATATACCCATTTGGAGATGTTTGAAAGGAAACCCATGGAAAATCACCAGCCTGGTGTTTTGGTTTTATGTCCGAATTATATATGTGTGTATGTATATGTGTGTGTATATATATATATATATATATATTTGGGGGGGAAGGGGGGGGGGTCTGGGAAAGCCTCAAAGCCAGCAGAGCTCCCCCATGGTGCTTCCCGGACCCCTTCTTCGGCCGCACCTGTGGGGTCGGACGATCTCCAGCACGAAGTCCAAGAAGAAGCGCAGCTGCCCCTCGTCCTCGCCGGTCGCTCGGTCGCTCGGTCGCTCGGTCGCTTGCGAAGGAACGGATCGGATCCGGGGCTCTGAGAGCAATTCTGAGAACTCGGGGTGCGCGGAGCTTCTGTGGGGAGTTTGGGGGGTGGCCAAAGAAAAACGCGCGAGCTTCTTGGGAGTTTGGGGTTGGTGGCCAAATAAAAACGCACATAAAGACAACTTGTGTGTGTGTGTGTCGCTGCAATGGGGAAACAAGAAGAGAGGTTCACCGCGAGACATGGTCGACGTCCCGAGCCAAAAAGGAAAACCACCCCATGGGAGGGAAACTCACGACTTGGACAAAACCAGATCCAAGGTATCTAACTTTACAAGGTGCTCTTGGTGGGGAATGAGGGATTGGTGTTACTTCTGAAGGGAATGTCCGCTAGATGTGAAGAAGAAGTGGCTCGCGCAGAGATGAACATAGAACCCGAACAGCCGGGTCATGTCTCAAAAGAATCTCTAGAAACTATGGTTTTGCGCGTTCCATGTTTTATTCAGCAAACATCTAGCGTGCATATCTGCCCAACTGGAAATGTCTTCCAGAGAGTCCCAGAATGGGTCGTTTTCCCCTCGGCGTCCCTCCAAGCAAACTCAAAAAGGCTTCCCTCCCACCCTTTTCACATGGAACCTGACGTTCGGGTCCCGCTCCCTTTCACTTGTTACACCCAAAATTGGAAAAGTACTACACTATTTCCGGCTTCCCTCCAATTGGTGGTCTGGATGGAGGTTAAGGGAGGGTTTCCCATTGACCCTCCACAAAAGCCAAGGGTTCAAATCCAATTCCAACCACCAAGCAAGGGGTTCCCTGAAATAAGGCAACCCTCCAGTAGAGGCCTTCATGATGGGCAAGCTCGTTTTACCCCAGGTGAACTCGAAAAGAAATGTCCAGACATATCCCAAATGGACATACCGCGCGAAATCCGTGGAGTATAGATGGGCGGTACTGCCAAACAAACATCCTGACCATGGTTTTTCCAAGTAGGACGCTAGAGGGGGGTTGTGTTTTGCAAGACATTGACCTACCAACTAAGCACCAGTTGGGTTGCCAGGCTCACACCCTGGTTCCCGTTCAGTATTTTTTATTTTAACAGGTTGGCCCCGTCAAAAGGTCAAGAGAACGGCCCAACCCTCTATCCCCCCCCCCCCCCCCCAATCAAAAGAGCACGCAAGGTCTTGACTGGACCATTCTGGTGACATTAGATGAAAGACAGGGCAGGTTGCCCTGAAAACACGACCCGAGGGAAAGTCACCTTAACCGGACCGAAAGGTGATGCTTAGAGCCCCCCTCCCCTTCGCTTCGCCTCGCTGCGGCCCTCCAACAGCCGAAACTCCGACTCCTGTCGAGGAAGTGGGAGGTTTGGGGGGGCCTCCCGCCATATGCCGCCTCCTTCATTCGCATCCGTCCTTCCCACTAACCACCCAGGAAAAGTTATTGGTCCGGGGGTTCCTCACTCCGGAGGAAAAAACATCTAAATTGTTCATCTGCCAAAGTGGTCTTGCCACAAGGTATGAAGTCCAGAAGCTCAGGGAGTGAGGCTCTCACACCCGAGCGGGCCAAAAAACCTTGCGGATTGATCTGTCTGAGGGTTTTCTTTTGCCGGTGGCCTTCAGGTGCCATGCTCAATGAAAGTGGTCGTCGCAGGACGCGCAAAAAGATTAGCTTTTGGGCCCTGAGTGGATTAGCTCCTGGGTTCGAACATGGGGGAGGTCTCTGATCTGGCCCTGCAACTGGCAATGAGACAATACAACAAGGGAAACCAAGCAAACCCATCTGGCCATGGGTCAAAGCCCGTACCTCCGGTAAACATCCCAATCCCCACCAAAACAGGTTCTAAAATGTGTGGTGAATTCACCTAGCAACCAAAATGGGATCCCAAAACGGTCTTGACCACCACAGCCATCTGACACCAGGATATCTCAAGCCATTGATTTGGGCACACGGCCGTTCGGCGCTCAACCCCCAGGCGCTCCTTGAACTGCGCCGGGCTGCCCTCACGGAGGTACCGATCCTCAGCGAAATCCGGGAAGCAAACCACCTATTGCTCACAAAGAGGGCTGCGAAATGGAGTTCGGAGCCCCGTTTTGAGCGGTTCAAGGGAAACCCACAGGAGATGGCTCACGATTTTGAACCACCCCAATTTTTCTAGCGTTCTCCTCCGCACGTCTTGGATGCGCAACCTCGTCTCAGTTCCCGCACAAAAGGGGGTAGTTCGGGGGGTATCCCCACTTTGCAAACGGAACCCAGTTCCAATCTCAGCGATTGCCTTCAACGGGGATCCTTATCCTGTCAACATCACCCCGCCAAAACAAGACTCACTTTAGCACACCCCAAAAGTGGTTTAAATCAAATTGGGACGTGCTGGCACGTGTCAAAAAGTAGCTCCCAACAAAACTTGTCCTTTTCCCCTTAAATGAATCTGAGAAGGGTACGAAATCCAAAACACACGCACCAACAGAAAGGGGCAGGCTACACCAAAAAAAAAACGTCGCACAAATTACAAGCAAAGCCTCCGGAGCCCGGGGAAGTCTGTCTCTCTCTCTCTCTCTCTCTCGCTCCCCCCTTCCCTTCCTCTTCCTCTTTTTCTTTTGTCTTTCTCTTATTCTGTCTCCTCCGCTTTTCTCTGTTTATCTTTCTCTTCCTCTTTCTATTTATCGTCCTCTTGTTCTCTTGGTCACTCTCTTTCTGTTTCTCTCCTTCGTTTTCCTCTTCTTTATTCTTCTTCTTTCCCTTTCTCTGTCTCTTTCCTCTTTTTTCTCGTGTCCTGTTTTGCACCGAGGCTGCAGGCACCCGAGGACTTTCGCTGTCTCACCCATCTCTGCGCCTGCCTGCGCCGTCGCGGCCCGAAAAGGCGCGCGACGACACGAGCTGAGCGAGGCACGCCGCAAGCCCAAAGCACGCGGAGGGTCGCCAGTGAGCGAGGTGACTAGTCGAAAGAAGCCGCCCGGTCCGCCCGCGCAAAGCGCGCAGCGGGTCGCGCGAGCAAAGCGAGAAGCATGGAACAGCCGCGTGTGGAAGGTCGTCCCAAAGTGCGCAGAGGGTTCACCGAGTGAAGGTTGCGAAGCGGTACGGCCCCGAAGAGCCCGATTCACGCACAGGGCCACAGAGCTTTCGCATGCGCAAACATGTTCATCAGAAAAGCACAGCTCATTTAGTCCCAGTCCTACGGAAGTTCCCAAACTTCCTAAGCCATTACCTCACACAGGGCTGTGGGGAATGACCACTTCTGTGATACAACAGAAAGGGCTTCCCAACGACTATTGTGTTGATTTATACAGGGGGATTCCCTTGTATCACAGAAGTGGGGCTTCTGCCCCGAGTGATCCCACCCTCCTCACATCACCTTCGCTCCCCCCAACCAGCGGGTGTCCCCGCCCGCCCATTGGCCCATTGGGACCCCCGGGTCCCCGGCGCGCAAGCCGCTGCCTGCCGCAAAGCCGCTGGGCCTGCGCCGAAGCGCCGAAGACGAGGCTTCGGTGGCCAGGGGGCCGAAGAAATCACGACGACCCCGGTGTGCCTGGGGTAAGTTTCAGGGGCTAAGAACTTTTTATCCCCAAAATGTCTAGACCCGGGTCAATGGGAAAAAAAAGGTGTCAACCACTTGTTGTGCCCCAACAAAGTATGGGCCCTGGGAAAGTTCAAATCGTGCTTGTCCGGCCAAGAAGAGCTTTTTACCCAGGGCGAGGTCACCTAGGCCTGGGTTGAACGCAAAGGTCTCCTTTAAAACGAGTAAACCGTAGAATGGTCAAAGGTGTGTGTCTCCCTGTTCCGGTTCCACCCGTGGTGCGTCGTGCCGGTGCCCCCACGCGTAAATCACCTTGCCCAAAAGTGAAACCCTGTGGTGTTTAGTGTCCTCATGAAGAGCCCAGAACTCTCAAAGAAATACTCTGGAACGAGAATGAGGGTGCAAAAAGCAGCAGAATCAAAGGTTTGGATAGCGTGCGTCTTTGTCATTGAGTGTATTTCCAACAACGCCTTGCTGTTCGTGTCCCTCGTCCCCTCAAAAAACCAGAAGAAGAAGAAACAAAAAACAAAAAGAGGAGGGGGGGGGAAGGGGGAGAAAAAAAAAAAAGGAGAAGAAAAAAACTCCCACCTCCTCCCGGAAATCTGTCTGACTTGAGGCCTCTCCCGCTTCGCCCGCGAGGGCATGAAGTGGCAGAACTGGCCCAGCTGAACCACGAGGCCTGCGTCGCTTTCTGGTGGCCGCGCTCCCGCTGGTGCGGGGAATGAGAAATGGAATGAGACCTATATGGGGGGCAAGGAATAAGAAGTGGAATGACCTATGTGAAACTTCATCAATATGAAACTTGGTCAAAAGGTCCGTGATAGGATGCCCATTGAGAAAAAAGGGAAGACAAAAAAGCTAAAGCGATGATATGTCCCACCAAGTGCAGGAATGTTGATCAACCCCCATATAAACCGCCCAACTGCTGGGTTCCTTTCAGGGAATTGTCTGGGTGCATTCCATTTCTCATTCCCTACCTATTGCGCCAGCAAGTCTAGCAACGTCTGTTGGAGATGTTGTGTTCAGGTTGGTTTAGCCAGAGTCATTCTGCGGTTGGAGGCGGCCACCTTCGACCATACTTTGCAAAAACTTGCGTTGCCTGGGGTTAGCAAGGAGACCAATTGGTTGCGCGTGAACCACCTTGCTGGTATGGAGTCAGCATGTGAGTCCAAAGCCTGGTACTAAAGTGGTCCAAAACGAAGGAAAGAGTTGCAGGTGTCTTTTTGAGATGGCAGCCTTTTGGGGTTGCTTTCAAAGGCAACCAGAAGGAAACCCCACCATTTTGGGGGTCCCTTTGACACAAGCCCGCACCCATGTCTGGCTGGGGCACCTCCAACCTACAGTCTAGGCTGTGATGGCTCATGTCCTTACCAGCTCCTTGGCTCCCGTCCAACCAAGGCCTTTTGTGTCAAGGATGAATCAGAGGGGGATGGAAAATGGGGATCCCCAAAAAGTGATCCGGATCCACTTGTAGATATGGCGAAGTAAACGGGATGACTAAACCAAAATGGGGAGGTGTGCCATCTACTTTCACCCGACATCGGACAACTGCCAGTTTCCTCAATCAGGGGTTCATTCATCCTTCCCCTTCAAGCAGGCCTTCCCGTTGACAAGAACAATTGCTCCTTCCTTGGTTCATGTTCAGTGCCGGGCAGAACATTCACCATGACCGGTTCCCTTCTCAGCCAACTTAGAATTTTGATCAAGAAAATGAATGACCGAAGCAACTATCCACTGGAAGCAGGTTCCCCTGAAATTGCAGAAACTTAGGAGACCCTGACATACCCAAACCAGGTCACAGGATTGAGGTATGATGCCATGGAAGCTGTGGGCCATGGTCATTCCCTGAATAGGAATCTTTTGGCGGAGTAAGCTCCCGAAAGAAAAAGAAAAAAAAAATGGTGACTGCAACCAACCCCAAGCAAAAAGGAACTGTGTCCATTGCCGAAGCTAGGGGCACATAGTAAGTTGAAGGTTGATGGCTTTGGCACTGAGATGGCGCTTCAGAAGCCACCACAGAAATAGCACGGGCCAGGTAAACTCAATGGGGACAAAAAGGGGTCACATACCCACAATTTGCCTTTGGGTCCCGACAACTTGGTAATGCAAGCCCTCGTTAGCCACATGAACGCCAACATTGCCTGCCCTCCAAATTTGACCCGAACGGAAACCCCAAAAATGGCTTTCATCTCCTTCTGGGGTGCCCCGGACTCCAAAAAGGGGGGTCTACTCTTCTTGTTGCTTAGCTGTGGGAATGCCCCAATTCCGGGTGGGAACGGAATGAACCGCAAGAGGAGTCCCTTAAAGGACACCTCCATGGCCCGCCGTAGCGAAGCCGGCGATCAAATCGATCCCCGCCTTGAGCCACCAGATAGCCCAGGATCATCCTATGGACGGGCAGCCCGGGGGGGGGCTCCCTCCCCATGGCTCAAGATGTGGGAGGCTCCAGGGCCAACCAAAAAAAAATAGGGGAGCCCTCTGGTTCCCAAGTGGAAAACAAAGAACAGCAGAGAGCTGGTATGGGAAGGCACCAGAAAAAGAAGAAGAAGAAAGGAGGAATAAGAAACACTGATCCTTCAAGGGCACACCTGGGTCTCAACCAAAACGCTGCAGAAAGGCTCACCCGCCTGCGAGAATTGAAATAAGGCAGGCGTTTTTGGATGTATCCTTCCAGAGAGCCCGACGCATAAAAAACACGTCCAGAATATGTGGCTGCCACATGGGGGGGGGGGGGATCTTTTTGAGCACGAGAAAATGTGTCGAGGCTTTTTCCATGGCCCTCCCAGCTCCATAGATCAAGATCGGGAACCCGAAGGGATTGCCAACGGAAGCCGATCCCTCAAAGGTGTCCAACTCTGAAAACAAAGAAAACATGCAACACAAACACACGAACGAACGAACAAACAAACAAAACAAATGCAAGCAAGCAAGCAAGCAAGCAAGCAAAAAAACAAAACTGACTTACTTGCTTGCTTGCTTGCTGGCTCCCTCACTCACTCACTCACTCACTCACTCACTCACTCACTCACTCACTCACTGGCTGGCTGGCTGGCTGGCTGGCTGGCTGGCTGGCTGGCTGGCTGGCTGGCTGGCTGGCTGGCTGGCTGGCTGGCTGGCTGGACTCAGTGACTAGGCCACGTGCTTTCTGGATCTGTTTTCCATGCGCTAGATCTCTCGGGAAGCGGGGGAAATTCGGAGCTCATGGACCTCCCAGAGCCGGAGGGCAAAAAGAAAAACAAGCTCTCACCCTGGAACCTGACTCAAGACGACTTTCTCTTGAATCTGGTGGACTGGATAGTAGCACGGCCAAACCAAACCCTAAGAAGGCCAAAAGGGCTTCTCCTTCACCTCCGCCTGAGCCCCCCAACATATCGTCGAACACCGATCCAAACCCAGCCCTCATCCGACGGTTCAGCCCAAAGCGCTTGAACTCCTCCTCCGTAGAGAAGCTCTCCTGGAATGTCTCGGAGTGGCACAGGCGGTCGGACAAGTTGCGAGTCGGGGTGAAAGTAGATGGCGCCATTGGTTGCGAAACAAAGCTGATGAAACTGAAATGGGGAAATTGCGCCATCTGCGTTCACCCAATCAATCAATTGAATTTGGCTAAAACAACAAAAGTCGACCAACACTGAATATGTCTTCGACCAATTCAAGGAAGGTACATTTGAACCCGAGAAGATACTGGTTGACTCTCGTCCATAACATCATTGCTCCGGGTCTTAGTTTGGGCAAGGTAGTCGTCATTCGTCATTCTTCGGGGCTACGAATCTTGGTGAGAAACTTGGGTGTGTCTGTTTTAGGGGACCCCCCCCCAAAAAAAAAAGAAAGAAAGAAAAAAAAAGCCGCTGTTTTCCTGTTGGCCTCCCTTCAAAGCCACCAAAAACGAGGTAATTATCCTCCTGCGATGTGCGAGAGGCGAGCAGCGGAAGTGGCGCACCCAAATGCGGTTTGATGCCGTGGGACCTGGTTTGGATCTTAGGCTAACGGGTCTAGAGCTGGAAGCTTCGGGTGTGAATTTGGGCTCGAGTCGGCGTGGATTTCGGCCGGTGATTCGTCTTGGTATGGTGAGTCTAGTGTCCAGTAGTGGATCTCAAAAGAAACGTTAACTGTGGGTTCTACACTCTCGTCCCTTGGTGCAAGCGATCAGAACCTGGCAAGAAGAGGGGGCAAAAATGCGCCAATGTCTGAATTTACTCCTCCAATCATGACTAAATGTGATTTCAAGCACCCCCGAACTATTTGGGGTGTGTCTCTTCTTTGGGGAAACGGCCGCCAAGATGGCGCTTTTTGCTCTTGGCCTCTTGGCTTTCCTTTAAGCCAAGCCCAAAACGGGCTATATCCCCCGCAAAAACCAGCGGGCCGACCTTTTCTCTTTGGGGGGGGTTCCCCCCCCCCTTCTCCGCGCACGCCTCCGACACCGCACCACACAAAAAAAAATCCGGGTCTCCTTGATCTCCCCCAGGCGACGGCCCTTGTGGAAGAGCGTGAGCGCCTCCGTGAACCTGGAGCCGCTCGGATCGCTTGGGTTTCGACGGCTCGAAACCGAAACCCGAGGCCGCGGTTTTCGAACCAGCCCCCTGTTTTTAAGATGGGCCAAAGAAAAAAAAGGGCCGCTCCTCTTTGGATGGTTCGCTTTTTGGGCTTGGTAGACAAAGGGAAACCACAGGGAGCACCGAAGCCATCTTTGGGGGGGTCACCTATGTTAAGACACACCCATGTGCGGTCCAGGTATATGCCCCACAGCAAAACAAAACTCACTGCTGGCCCGGGTGATCTTGGTGCTCAAAAACTGAAAGTGGAATGCCCCTCCACCATCCAACTGGCGGTTTCCCCCTTCCCAGTTTCCATCCAGCGAGTTTCTCGGGCTTTGTTCGGGTTCCCGTTTCCAACCACCAGGGTTTGTTTGTAGCCTCTGCTGGCCCCAGAAGAATCGGGTCTTTGCTTTGGCCTGATTCCACCTAACCTTTGGGAGTGGGGAGGTTTGCAGGTAGTTTCCCCAAAGCACCAATCCAAACCCACGAATTCAGGCGCAGCTGAGCACAAGCCCCAAACAGGCCAACACCTGCGGGGGCCAAAAGTTCTAGGGGGTGGCTCCCCATTCTTTTCAACCATCGCTCTTCAATGGGAAATTTGACCCGGGTGTTTGGAAGACCCCCAAAAAGCGTCCTCATTCCGTTGCCAGCGTCAGCTCTCAAGTAGGAGTTAAGCTCGAGCTTCTAACTTTCACAACTCAGACACTGCTGAAAAAACTGAACCTCGGCCCAAGGACCTGGACGTGACACGGGCCCAAGGGGGAGGGTGAATTCGGGTCGATTCGAGTGAGGCCCAACTGAGGCCCAACTGAAAGCCTGTCGAGGTGAATTCCCGTGCCGAGGAACCCGAGAATTTCCTGGGAATGCTGTTGTGCAAGCGGTATCACAGACAAACAAACCGAAGGGAACAAGGTGGATTCGCTTTGGGCAAGTGAGAGTACCATAGGTGTCCTTCAAAAGAATAGATGGCCCTGGTATAACAAGGGCCATCTATTGTTTTTTTTCTCCAAAAATGAAGGGATGGGACAAGGCCTTCTGGGATCCTTTTGGTGGGCCATCCCGAAACGGCTTTCCACATGGCCTGTGAGTACCAGAAGTCTGCAAACCGCAATGCCCGCCTTTCACAGTCGTGCGCCACTGCACACTGTGGATGAGCAAGGTGAACCAAGTATGCCACCAAAGACCGCAAATTCTGCAATTTCCAAACCACCTTCTGGAACTTGTCGCGATTCTCCCCCGCACAGCCGACTCCAGCAGATCGCACAACTTCTTCTCCCTCCGCTCAACACGCTTGGCCATTCTACAGCTTGTCAAGGCAAAGTCTCAAAAGAACAAGAGTCTGTTGGCCTTTGCCTTTTGCCATTAAAGTCACCCCCTAAGTGGAAACTTATTGGAGGGAAGCAACCCCAGTTTCTGACTTTGATAACGCAATCTTCGTCCGGAACTAGTACTCAGCGGTGGTTCTCCTTCAAGTGAGGAAAGGATCTATTGATGGGGTTCGCGCAACTAGTAGGGCGAAGTTCACATTAACCTACCCCCCCCCCCCGCCCCACAATATATATATATATATAACACATTTCGCATGTGTATTTATATATATATATATAATCTGTCAAAACATGTCCAGCCCTTTTCCACCACGCAGGAACCAAACACCCAAAAATTTCGACCGCGGACTCCCTCTCGGACTATCTCGGACTCCGGACGTGGTGGTGGACTTCTTGTCCTTGGTCTCCGGGGTCGGATGCTTCTTGCGCCAGTCCTGGCGATCCGGCGAAAGCCCGGCGATTCGGCCGGAAGCTTCAACCCGCGGCGCGGGCGGTGAAACCGCCGAGCACGGGAAACCAAAAGCGAACGCAGGGGGGAAACCACGGGGAAAACCGCTCATTTTCATTTTGGGGACCAGCAAACTATTTACCTTTTTGTTGGTTGTTTTTAAAGGGAAACCAATGCACGCTTTTGGAGGTGCTCAAACATTTGAGCCAAACTGAGCTTTCAGAGTACCATTTGCGGGAGTCTTTAGACAAAGCTAACAGGGGAATCCAGCATTGTGGGAGTTCGAAGAGACGAGGGGAACACCCCCAATTTTCTGGTCATCACAGAAAAACGCCATTGTTTGGGGGGTAGAGGTGCCAGTCAACCATCATGAGGGTGTGAGTGTGTGTGTGTGTGAAACCCAAAGGAAACCATCATTTTTGCGGGTAGTTGGTTGGTTTAAAGGGAAACCAACGTAGGCTTTTGGAGGTGCTCAAACAATTGAGCAAAACCCATATAATGAGCTTTAAGAGTACCATTTGCATTTGCAAGAGACGAGGGGAACACCCCCAACAATCCACCAGGTTCAGGTTTTGCCCGGGTCAGCATCACATATCCCAAGAAGGGGGGGCAATTTGGTTGGTTTTAAGGGGCAACCAAAAGGAAAACCATCATTCTCCTGAAATCCCGCTATTTATTTAGTTTGTTAAAAGGAGCTCCAGCCATCAATCGACCCCTGAACGCATTTTCTTCCGAGAAATCCACCCACCCACCACCCACCAAACCCGGCACCACACACACCCCCCACCCCCCCACCCCTCCCACACACACCCCAGCCACCCCACCCAAGGAGGAGTCCCGAAAGTGCTGGGCCGCCAGTGAGTCCCTCGAGGTGTCCACGTTGGGCGCCAGGCCCACCCGGATGTCATCCCGGAAGACGTTCACCTGAGGGTCAATCCAAAAGCCTGGGCGGTGATTCTTTTCAGAAAGAAAGGAAGAACAAAAAACACATGTTCTGCCAAATAACATGCACCACCTGGTAATTAAAAAAAATCGATCGAAACTTGCATGCGTTGATTCGCCGCCTGGAAAAAAGTAACGAAAGTATGGCTAGTAGTGAAATCGATTCCCTTTAAAACCGACAGGGGGAAAATGAAAAATACTCTTAAGCAAATGGAGGTTCATCAATATGCCTGGCCCCAAATTGACCAGGTACAACTTTTCTCCTGTGGTGAAAGTCAAATCATTCCGGGTGATTTCAAAAACTCATGGTCACCCCATGTGGCACGGACCTTTTGATCAACCAGCAAATGGAAGAAAAGCCTTCTATCACTAGGTCCTCCAGTAGAGAGGTTAGAATAAGTTGTTTTTTCTGTAGTCTATTTTAGTAGAGAAACCCTCCCAACCAAAAGAGGTAAAAGGGCACTACTGGGGGACCTAGATCAGCTTCCCTCTTGTTGGTGGTGTGGAGGTGTTTTGGGGGAGGCTTCCCATTTACTCTCAAGAAGCTCCAAACCACCAATGAAGGCATGGCTGATTTGGATCAACCCCCAAATGGAAGACAAAAGCCTGAAAACAGACCTGATGCGGCCCCCTTCTCCTTCAACTTCCCAACCAAGGCGCCAGCTTGGCCTTCTTCAGCATGATCAGGTTCCGGGCGGCCTCCTGCAGGTGGTGCATGTCCAGCCTGGCCGCAGCTCGAAAAACGAGCGGCGGAAAAAGGATTTATAGAGGGATTATTATAGGGACTTCTGGGGAAATTATACGGGAAATTATAGGGATTCGTAACGCAATGGTTCATAGTCGGATCAAAATCATATAGAGAGCAATTATTTGTAGCGGAATCATTTGTAGGGAAACTAATGAGAGGGAGCGCATTTATAGAGACTATTCATAGGAGGAATCTTGTTCTTGGACGGAAACTAATTATGAGAGAGTCATTTGTAGGTAAAGTAGATTTGGGGGAATCATTTATAGGGAATTCATTTGTAAGGGGAATGATTTGTAGGGGCATTATTTGTAGGGCAATCGTGTATGGGGAATCATTTGGGCAATCGTTTATAGAGAAATGATTGATAGCGGGAGTCATGTGTGGGGAACAAATAATTGTATTTGTATTGGGGATACATTCATAGAAACTATTTGTAGAGACTTTGTAGGGAACTTATTCATACAGGACACATTTGTAGAGAACTTGCCTATAGGGTAATCAATTGTAGGGGAAATGTTTCGTAGGGGAATCACTTGCAGAGAAATTACAGGGGAATCATTTGTAGTCATTTATGGATAAGTTTCGGGACCTCCAAGAGGAATCCAGAGAAGGGATTTGGGCGTGGTGAGGGGGGCTCGGGGCCAAGCGTTCTTCATTTGGTGTGGGAGGCTTTAGGATTTAGTCGCGTTTTGAGGGTGGGTTCAAGGATTTTGGCTCGACTTTGAGAGGTTGCAAGTTAAAGGTAGGGTCGGGGTTCGCGCCCCGAAACATCAGACAGCGGCAACGGGCACCCATCTCGTCACATCCCCCAAACTGAGGATGGAGGGGGGATTCCCACATGTCAAGATTAAAAGCATCGGGGCGCCAAAAGGCAAACATAGGGCTGAACCCCCAACAAAACCACCCTGACTGCCACAAATCCCACATCCTTTACAAGTTCGAACCCCTACAGCTACAATTACTGCGGAAAAACCATCCATTCTTTGGGAGACCTCCCTCATGAAAACTTGTCTTGCACAAAATTAGGGACTGATGCCGCCAGGTGGTTGGTTTCCTTTGGGACGGACGAAATCCTGCACCACCTAAGAATCGATTCCCCAACGTAAACACCAACAACCGCTACGGTTTCAACCATGACTTACTTCGTGGTGCGAACGAATTTCGTCCAGGTAAATGGTAAACCAACTTCCACGCCCCCAACCCATTTCAAACCACCCTTTTTGTGGATTAAAGGCTGTTTCCACAGGTCTGGGGTCGACTTTTGACTCATTTAGTTGTGAAGAAAAAAAAGGGCTTCGCGTCCATCCACAGTTCTGTTGACCCCGGAATAATGAACCCCTGTTTGTTAGTCTGGGGGGTGTCCCGGCTTTAGGGGGGAATAGGGGCCCACACCCCCATAGGTTTTTTCCCCCACAGCTGGTCTCAGCCCAGATAGGCTCCGGGGTGGGGCGGCCCTGGGGTAAGGTTCCACGAGGGTTCCACGACGTTCTGCGAGGGCTGGGTGGTGCGAGCACTACAAAGAGCACCGCATGCTGTTGGGGATATCACCTGAGCTTATTTGAGAAGGGTTGATTCATACACCCCAGAGCTACCAGGACTGAAGCAGCGCAGCGACCCGATGCTCAACAAGGTTAAAAGTGACCTCCCCGCAAACCAACCCGTTGCGGATCGGATCCACCGATCCACCGATCCACCCCCGCCCGGTGTGCAGGTGCAGCTCCGACAAGCTCAGCGCGGGGTCCGCGTACTGCACCAGCGTACGCACCTCGCCGTTGTTGTTGTCATGTTGTTTTCTTTTTTCGGAAGTTCTCGCGTCAAAAACTGGAGGGGGGGGCAAGCGAAAAAAATCGTGGGGATAGGAGGAGGGGGAGCAAAACGAGCTTTGATAGTCCGCAAATCTGGAAAGCACAGAAGATATGAACAGGTGTCTCTGTGGATGTTGGTAGTCAACATAAAAATACAAGCGAGGCAACCAGGTTCGCACCAGGCGAACAGGCACAGAATTTGCCTACCTCCGCACATCAAACTGCAATTATTTTTGTTTGGGCCGAGAGTCAAGCATTTGCCAGTGAAGAGGACAATAATATCGCACCACACCATTCTCAGCTTCCCTCGAATCGGTGGTTTGGATTGATGGTTTTGAGGTTTGGGGTGGCTTCCCATTTACCCTCAAGAAGCAAGGGTTCAAATGCCGAAACCACGAGTCCAAACTACCAACTAAGGCTTACCTGATATGCTCCCCTCCACTTCCTCCCCAAGCAAAGGCCAATGCCCAAAAGACTCCAACAGACCCAAACCAACAAATAGGGGTTACCTGACATTCAGTACTATAGCATGGCTAGGATGGTTGCTCGAACTGAGCCTCCTCAAAGCCACAAATGATGGCAGTGTACAGCAAAGTGTGGAAGACTTTCATTCTCCAACAAACAAGCAAATTAAACCAAAATACCCCAAATAACAAAAAACCAGGCCGATCATTGCACACCAGCACCTGTAACAGCCTCCCACAAACAGCACCCCCAGAACACCCACCCATCACCCCCAAACAGCCCCGCCCCCCAAAACAGCGCAACACATTTGTGCGATTTGTAGCGGTTGCACGCATCTTGCCGGGTGTTCCTAGGGGGAGTCCGTGTGCTCCAGACCTGCACTTGTTTTGTGATTGGCCTTGCATCTTGGTTTAGCAAACATTGATTCTGGAAACTGGATGCTTTGTAGTTCTCTCACGAAAAGGGTGACCTTGCGTTGCCTTGGGCCTTTTTCTGAATCCCAGAGCTGGGTTCCGGTTCCGGGGGACCAAGCATGTGCCTTTTCGCATCGTCTGCTTCACAGACTCGATCAGCGGTCTACACTGTTCTTGCCGTAGACTGGACGACATTGAGCTTGGGCTCAGCTTAACTTTGTCGTCAGAACTACAGTGAAGAGAGAAAACCGTGCGCGCCGTACAAGTGGCTCAGCCAGCAGTCGGGTTGTGGCGTTTGGGCCTCTCGTACGCCAAGTGCCCGCGGGAGAGCGCATATGACCTCCGCTCTGCGCCGAAGTGGGTGTGGGGGAGCAGCGCGTACAAGTGCGTTTGCTGCGGCATGCCGCGGCAACTTTGGACGACTTCTACAAGAGATCCCCCTCATGCAGCTGCCTAACGTCGCACGCCGGCAGCGCTAACTTCGCCCACGTGGCTCGCCATGGTCGCGAGCACTCGCGCCCCTGACACTCTGGGCGGGAACCTAGTACGCCATACCGCGTGACCCAGGAGCTTCACAAGAAGAAATCTGACTCGCCGGCCTCACACCCTTGCACCCTGCGCGGGCGGAAAGTGAGTCACAAGTTCTGCCGCAATTGCGCGGCAGGCTCTTCCTGTTCCTTGAAGGCGATTCTGCAGAAACTCTTTGCTGATGGACCACGTGAAGACGTCTGTCTGGCCCGGCGCGTTCTTCAGCTCCTCAACGCAGCTCGCAGCTACGGAGCGACGGGACTTCCAAGGTGGTCACGGTAGTTGCGGAATTCCTGTCGCAATTCTGCCAGCAAGAAGACTTGGCCGGGCTCATTTGCGTCAGCACTCCTGCCATGACTGCTTGCGGATGGCTTACTGCCAGTATCCGGCATGCGACGAGCTTGTAGAGCGCTATGGAGGCCATCGTCGGTGGAGTTGGTCAAGGCCAGCCAGTGCCTCATCGGCACCAAAGACTGCGCAATGCGCATGCAAATCAAGCACTGGCGCAGCCAGTCAGTCCTGAAGAACCAAAGCTCGACGGCCAACTCCTCACTCGCACCATCATCTGCTGCTGCCAGCAAGTGCGACTAGGACACGAGACTGGGATACAAGCTCTGCGGCCAAAGCATCGTGACGGCGCAGCTGCCAAGGCAAGTTCATCCAGGATGAGGAGCTGTTTGCTGTGGTTCCTGGACACCAGCCAAGCGAAGTTCCTGCCATATCTCCCGCGAGCGCGAACCCTGCAAGTGCGAGTCGCCCGGATCCGGCTTCATGAGGCACACCCCGGGTAGGGTGTTGGGCGAGGATCGGAAAGTGAAATTTGCATTTGAATGGTTCCCTACGTGAAAGAGACTTCAACCCCAAAGGGGTATGGGGTTTCTTGTAGGCCCTATTACTTGTAACAAGCACTGTTTACAAATTAACCGGGCCAAGTAGAAACCTTGAGCCCCAAGGGGTTGAGTTTTTTCTAGTAGGCGCTATGAATTAAAAGGTAATATGGCTTGCTAGAAAAGGGTTCCGGGTAAGGGTCTCAAGTTTTTTTCTCGTAGGCCCTTTTACCCCTCAAAACAGCACCTGCACCAGCAGCCCAAACTGCATGCCCTAGCATCCGACCGTCAGTTGTGAAAAAATGCGCCCGCACCGTCACCAGCACCTCAAGCAGCCCCAAAACAGCACCTGCACAAGCACCCAAGCTGCATACCGTTGCACCCTGCCGTCAATTTTGCAAAAATGCGCCCACGCCGTCACCGGCACCTGAATCAGCACCTGCACCAGCTCCCCAAACTGCACGCCCCCAAGCACCCAGCCGTCAATCTTGCAAATCACTGTCCCCTCCTTATTAGAAGTTGGAACCCATTTAGCTTTCAGCTATCTGGGGAACAAAAAACAAACAAACAAACAAACAAACCAAACCAAACCAAACCAAACCAAACCAAACGAAACGAAACGAAACAAAACAAACAAACCAAACAAACAACAAACAAACAAACAAACAAACAAACAAACAAACAAACGAACAGACGAACAAACAAAACAAGCAAAAAAGAAAGAAAGAACAAATCAAACAAAACAAAACAAACAAACAAACAAACAAACAAGCAAACAGAACAAATCAAACACAACAAACAAAACAAACAAACAAACAAACAAACAAACAAACAAACAAACAAACAAACAAACAAGCAAACAGAACAAGTCAAACACAACAAACAAGCACCGATGCATGTGACCGACCAGAAATGACTTCTGGGCTTCCCCGGCGCACTCGTCCGTGTCTGGGCCCAAATCTGAGCTGATCTCCTGGCGTCCCGCCAGTTTTTCATCATCCGAAGTTGTAACCTCACGTAAAAAGGGTCCCTGGAAAGAATGGGGAAAGTACCCCTAGATTTGGTTTTTTAGCGGTTGCACAGGGTGTTTGAGGGTAGTGGAAACCATCATTCTAAAAGTTGATTCCTTGTCCATTCTTTTCAACCATCGCTCTTTCCACAAGCTGGCCGTTTTCCCTGGGTTTCCGGAGGTTTTCTAGAAAGAAGAATCGCTGGAATGAATGGGGAAAGTACCCCTAGAGTAGTGGTCTTTTATTGGTTGCACATGCCATGGAAACCATCTTTAGTTTGAAAGTGAAAATACTTTGTTGGTTTGCTTCTTGTGGACAGCAAAGAGGAAAGCCCGCCATTTTTGGAGTCCCTCATGTGGAGACAAACCCAGACCCCCTTTCAACAACCCAAATATGCTGCATGTCCCACGACTTCTCTGTGCCTTCCCCAAAATCGTTCCAGCTTTGGACAGTTCCCCTCGTTCCCTCGCTGTACCTCGGCCAATTTGACCCGAGCTCCCGGAAAGTCGCCTCTGGAGAAAAAAAACGTGAACACCTGGCTACGGCTGAAGAGAAAACAAAAGGAGTCCCAAAATGGGTTGCCCATTTGTGGAAGCCATGGGCACCAGAATCCCGGCGGTTTTCTTTTTTTTCCCCCCCCCGATCGTGAGACTTTTGAGCAGCCACGTGACTGTGTCTCAAACCGCCGGGGGCCGTTTTTGGAGGGTAAGCAAACCAAGAGGAAGCCGCCTAGGAATCGGTCATAGAGGAAAATCGGTGGGAAACCGAACGGCAGAGCGTTCAAAGCCCAACCTCACAGACTAAAACCGCCCCCAAACCCGAGCCGAAGCCTGCCTTTATGCAGGTAAATGTTTAGAATGGGGACCTGAACTGATGGACATCTAGCTGGGGATTCATGGCCAACAACACGAAAAAAATCCAAGCAAGCAGGAAGTGAGGACTACAAAAAAAAAAAACGCCTGGCATTGCAAGGCCTTACACCACCCAAACGTCCCCTTTCTTTTTGCCCCACCAAGTCATGCACCACACCTAGGTTTGCGCCCACCCCGCCGTTTGGCGCAAGCCTAGATGCGGCTGCGCCCTCTTTGGTCCCTTTAAACCCAACCAAAGATGTGCCCCCCCCCTTCCCAAACAGACCCCGGCACCCCCCACCCAGACCCTCAGCCCCTGCCTCCCGCGCGCGGGACAAAGAGACGCCCTGCACGGGCGACAGCACCGGCGCGGCCTCGCAAAGTCGGACTTGGAAGTCGGGAGCCTTTCGCCTCGATTTCCTGGGGCTTCAGCAACCAAAGTGGCGCACATCAAGAAACCAGAACCTCTCAGTGGCGGAAGACACGGAGGTGAAACGGAGGTGGAAAACCACCACAACATGGGGGGCGGCCTCATGCTCCCCGTTTCACACCGGAGAAGAAAAGAAAACTCTCCCTTGGCATCACTGAACGTTGTGAATGTTGCCTGCCATGTTCCACCATGATCACTTTGGACTTTGTACGGAAACCGAAGATTGAATTCCGCAAACATACAATTGCCCCTTTGAGGTTTCCCTTCTGACTTCTGAGTGTTTGGATGACTGGATGCATTGCGCAGACACACTCAATTGTGTACGCCTCTTTGCTGAGAGGGCTCGTTTTGGAGTAGTTCAAACTGGAAACAAACCAAGGAGGAAACCTCCAAACGGCTCAAAAAACATGAGGGTGGTCGCGTCATTCTCCCATTTCACACAGAAAAACATGGCCTCACCTTGGACCGCACGTTGCCGAAACGCACCCGAAACCCGCAACCGAAAGCGTAAATCGAAGGGCGCCTCTTCGAAGGCATGGTACCGGAAGAGATCCTCCCCTCACACGCGGGCGGCTCCCCAACAGCTTTGTTTGGTTACCTTCTTGGTGGTTTTAAAGGGAAATCAAAAGGTCCCTCAGTTGCAGGGGTCCACCATGTTGAGTGACATCCCCGCCCCGACCAAAGACCCTTTGTGCGGTTTTTAAGGGAAACCAAAAGCAAGACCGCCATGGAGGGTTCCCTAAAAAAAGACACACCCATTTGGCTGTGGCTCAAAAAACCGGTACCAAAATGGAACCCTAGTAGGTGGAAACATGGACCAAAACCTGCGGTTTGCCCCTCCTGTTTAAGTTTGAGCCACACCCAGTTGAATTCGCAAGCCAAACCCATGGAAGCCTATCATGTCTGGCTCAAATCGCAGGGAGATAGCCCACACCGAACGGCAGGGCAAAGTGAACAATAGAAGAGAACAATGAAAAGGATGTCTGACTTGCTTTGGGAGTTCTTCCACTAGGTCTTCCAGATTTGAGAGGTTAGAATAAGTTGGTACCCGAATGCTTTTTCGGTTTTGTCGTTTTGGTAGGGGGCCCTCCCCAAAAAAAGGGTAAAAGGGCAGTATTGGGAAACCTAGTCCAATCTTGGGTCGCTTGAGCCAGCAAAAAGTCAATCCGACCGTTGCCCGTCAGAAAAGCCGTCCCTAGAGTTGGCATTCAATGCAACCCTGAATCCACGTCACATTGTCTTCTTTGCAGGGAAACCCCTTTTGGTTGGTATTGAAAGAGAAACCTGGGCTGTCCGTTTTCTGATCCCCTGCGCAAATGTTGACTTGGTCACATAGAAACCCAGCCACCCAACCCACTAAAGAACAACTAAAAACAACTAGACACCTAAGGAACCGGACGACTTCGGAACCACCCAGAAAAAGGCCGCCCGCCCTTTTCCGTGGGGCCCAAGCTCCCATTTTCGGACCCCTTCACCCCGTTCAGCTGGCTCTGCGCCCGGGTCAACCGTCCGTGTTTCGGCAAACGTCGGGGATCCAAAGACCGAGGCATCCGCCGTTCACCAGGATCTTCTGACTGCCCGCCACCCGCATGTTGTTGTGCAGCTCCGCAACCAGGAGCTCCAGTGGATGCAAGGAGGCGCCTACCCCAACAACGGATGTGAAGGCGGCACGGGGGGGTCGAGGGTTTGACCGGCTTGGAGTGTCTCTTGCTGGAGTTGGTAGGCTTCTGGGCTGGTGTCAAGGGAAATCAGGGGCTTTCTTGGCGCGATGGGTAGGCACCGCTTGGAAACCGGGCCTTCGCTTTCGGCCTTTTGCTGGTTCAGCTCGAGGTCATTCAGGTCCTGGAAGCTCTTCATCCGCATCACCTCCTCAGACCATGTTTGACTAAAAGGGGACACCCCCCGAAAAATCCACCAAGAGTGTATCCATGCAGGGTTCCCAAAAACGAGAAGGCAATGCCCCTTAATGGCCCGTAATACCGCCTAATAGTCACCATCAGACACTTATAGTCACTATCAGGCTGGGCTATGGCTCCAGGTCCATATATGAGACGAGCGTGCCACAAACCTCCACAGGGCTCCCCATATTTTTCCCTTAAACATCACCCAAGCGGAAATTAGTCTAAAAGCAAGTGCCTAAGACATCCCTACCAACCCCTTGGCGAGCTTTGACCACAGCGAAGGCAACCCATCGTCTCCCTTCAATGTACCTTGGCCAAAGTGTCAGTGTTGAGGGTCCAGGGAACTGACTACATGCAACGTCCCAGGTCGGTTCGAGCGAGCAAAAGTAGACTTCAGGCCCAGGTGTGTCCAATCTGGGGCTGTTTTTTATTGAAAAACACCAAAAATCCCAAAATGTTTCTTGCTGGGAGTGCCAACTAAAAAGTACCGGGTATTTACCCACCCGCAAGTCGAAATGGTTTTACCCCCGCCAACATGGTAAGAACACCCGCTGAGGTGCACCCGCTCAGCACTGCACACACGCATGCTAAATGGAAAGAACACCCGCTGAGGTGCACCCGCTTTGCGCTGCACACACGCATGCCAAATGAAAAGAACACCCGCTGAAGTGCACCCGCTGGTCACTGCGCACACGCGCTCCAAATGGAAAGAACACCCTCTGAAGTGCACCCGCTCAGCACTGCACACACGCATGCCAAATGGAAAGAACACCCGCTGAAGTGCACCCGCTGGTCACTGCACACACGCACGCCACACCCTCTGAAGTGCACCCGCTGGTCACTGCACACACACACACACACACACACACGCATGCCAAATGGTAAGAACACCATTGAAGGTGCATTCCGCCAAATGGTTAGAACATCCGCTGAGGTGCACCCGCTCAGCACTGCACACACGCATGCCAAATGGGAAGAACACCCGCTGAAGTGCACCCGCTTTGCGCTGGACACACGGATGCCAAATGGTAAGAACACCTGCTGAGGGCACCCGCTTTGCGCTGCACACACGCAAGCCAAATGGTAAGAACACCCGCTGAAGTGCACCCGCTTTGACGGATGCCAAATGGTAAAAAAACCACCTGCTGAGGTGCACCCGCTTTGCGCTGCACGCATGCCAATTGGCAACAACACCCGCTGAGGTGCACCCGCTGGTCACTGAACACACTCAGCACTGCACACGCGCACGCCACATTGGAAAGAACACCCGCTGAAGTGCACCCACATGCCAAATGGTAAGAACACCCACTGAAGTGCGCCCGCTCAGCACTGCACACACGCATGCCAAATGGAAAGAACACCCGCTGAAGTGCACCCGCTGGTCACACACACACACGCATGCCAAATGATAAGAACACCTGCTGTGCACCCGCTCAGCACTGCACACACGCATGCCAAATGGAAAGAACACCCGCTCAAGTGCACCCGCTCAGCACTGCACACACGCACGCCAAATGGAAAGAACACCCGCGGAGGTGCACCCGCTCAGCACTGCACACATCGCATGCCAAATAGTAAGAACACCCGCTGAAGTGCACCCGCTTTGCGCTGGACACACGGATGCCAAATGGTAACAACACCTGCTGAGAGCACCTGCTTTGCGCTGCACACACGCGTGCCAAATGGTAAGAACACCCGCTGAGGCGCACCCGCTTTGCGCTGCACACACGCATGTTAAATGGTAAGAACACCCGCTGAGGTGCACCCGCTCAGCACTGCACAGACGCATGCCAAATGGTAAGAACGCCAGCTGAAGTGCACCTGCTTTACGCTGCACACACGCATGCCAAATGGTATGAACATCCGCTGAGGTGCATCCGCTCAGCACTGCGCACACGCATGCCAAATGGTAAGAACACCTTCTCAAGTGCACCCGCTCAGCACTGCACACACGCATGCCAAATGGTAAGAACACCCGCTGAGGTGCATCCGCTCAGCACTGCGCACACGCATGCCAAATGGTAAGAACAGCCGCTCAAGTGCACCCGCTCAGCACTGCGCACACGCATGCCAAATGGTAAGAACACCCGCTGAGGTGCACCCGCTCAGCACTGCACGCACGCATGCAAAATGGTAAGAACACCCGCTGAGGTGCACCGGCTCAGAACTGCACACACGCATGCCAAATGGTAAAAACAGTCGCCCTCTTTGCGATGCACAAACGCATGCCAAATGGTAAGAACACCCGCTGAGGTGCACCCGCTCAGCACTGCGCACACGCATGCCCAATGGTAAGAACACCCACTCAAGTGCACCCGCTCAGCACTGCGCACACGCATGCCACATGGTAAGAACACCCGCTGAAGTGCACCCTCTTTGCGCTGCACACACGGATGCCAAATGGAAAGAACACCCGCTGAGGTGCACCCGCTCAGCACTGCACACACGTATGCCAAATGGTAAGAACACCCCCTGTAGCTCACCCGCTTTGCGCTGCACACACGCATGCCAAATGGTAAGAACACCCGCTGAGGTGCACCCGCTCAGCACTTCGCACACGCATGCCAAATGGTAAGAACACCCGCTCAAGTGCACCCGCTCAGCCAGCACTGCACACACGCGTGCCAAATGGTAAAAACACCCGCTGAAGTGCACCCGCTTTGCGCTGCACACACGCATGCCAAATGGTAAGAACACCCGCTGAGGTGCACCCGCTCAGCACTGCGCACACGCCTGCCAAATGGTAAGAACACTCGCTCACGTGCACCCGCTCAGCCAGCATTGCACACACGCATGCCAAATGGTAAGAACACCCGCTGAAGTGCACCCGCTTTGCGCTGCACACACGCATGCCAAATGGTAAGAACACGCGCTGAGCCGCTCAGCACTGCGCACACGCCTGCCAAATGGTAAGAACACCCGCTGAAGTGCACCCGCTCAGCCAGCACTGCACACACGCATGCCAAATGGTAAGAACACCCGCCCAAGTGCACCCGCTCAAGCGAAACAACAAACAACCCAGCCCACGAAGGCGGCGGATTTCAAGTTTTACTGGGATAGGACATGTTTCCAGCCGGTGCCCCGGCTTCTGGCAGCCCAGACATCGTCTCACTGCCATGTGTCCTAACAAAAAATGCGCGGCTTTACTCTGAAATGAGTTAGTTACCGGGATGTTCAAAGACCCACAAAGATGCACGTTTGTCAAACTGCCTGAGAATTCAATCACAAAAACCGAAGACAGGCAAAAAAAACGCGCGGGTGGCTATGTTCCCGGCGCGAACTAAAAGCATCAAAGGCATTCAATCCACTTGCAACCAAACATGTTTCTTCAAGCTGGTCTAGAAAGGACCCAGGAAATCGCCCACTTGTCCCGGTGCAACGATCGGGCACTTTGGAGGTACAGACTGTTCAACCCTTCCTCTTTTGCCACACCACTCCTCCACGGAAAAACTCCTGGGGCCCGCGCCTTCAATCGCCGGACCTCCCTCGACACGTAGCCTCGCAACCCCATCCCCTCGACCCGTGCTGCTGCCGCGGCCCATTTCACATCAGCTAGTTCGCCAAATCCACGAGAAACCCTCGATAATTCAATATATGGCCCTGTCCCTGGACCGTTTCGGTGCGTTTCAGTGCCGGCGGTCAAATGGGGAGCGCCCTAATTTTGACCCCCCCATCTATGAATTGTGACAGTGTGTGTGTGTGTGCGTGTGTCTAAAAATTGTGAGGACAAATACTGAAAAGCACCCGTTGATACAAAGCGGGAAAAAACTCTGTTCAACCAAAGGTCGGTGAGGGCGTTCCAAAATCGCCGAGTGTCTATGATTCGATACCCCCCAATTTGTTTTTAGAAAAACCCGCTTGGCCTTTGGCCTTTGGGCGGCTGGAAGCTTTGGACCTGCAAAAGAGGCGCTCCCTGAGAGCACCAGTTCATCGCTTGAAGCATGCGGGGCTTCCCCCCCCCAAACCATGTTGTTTCACCTCCATGTTACCTTTTGTTGGGTCCGAAAACACCGCCAACAAAAAAAAACTCAAATTCCGCCAAGGCACGACCAAAAGGGACGCGGGGCACTGGGACTCTCCAATGGGGGTAATTGGGCGATTCGCAAGAGTTGGACCCCCCTCAACAAGTGATGCACAAAAAGCCCCGCCGAAAGACCCAAATGCGTCAGTCCTTTTTTAGGGGGCCCCCAACATTTGCGGGTTCCCGTTTGGTGTCCCTTGAAAACCAACCAAAAAGGGGGTGCCCTCACAAAAAGACAGACCCACATGATGTGGACCAGTGCGGGCTCCCACTCCAAACACCAAAAAAAAACGTGGCACCTGGAATCGGAGGAGTCAAGGCTGTGACACCCAGACGGGACTTTTCCATCGCCAAAGGGCCATTCTCCACCTCGTGCTTCGCAAGGAGGTTGGAGACTTGCTCCGTTGCCTCCGGAAAGCCGAAGGACTGAAGGACCCAATTGGGTCTGTGCAAAATGCGAGGCCAAAGCTGGGCTTTGGGTTGAAGGGACACCCAAAAGAACAACTCACACCTCGATTGATTTTAATTCTTGGATGGGGGGGGTACTGATCCCTTTGACCTGTTGCGGGGGCCGGCTCCTCGCATCCATGGGGCAAAACGCCCACCTGGCGAAATGGATCTCGTCACGAGAGCCTTCCCCCCCTTCCCCCCCAAAAACAAACGGCCCGGGTGGTGTGGAGGTGTTCCAGGACAGGTTCCTCTGTTCCACAAGAACCAGGTTCCAATCCCAAACCAATCCAAACCTCAGTACAAATCGGGAAACGGGGCAACCTGAGCAATGAACATCTCTCCTAGCACCGCAAGTCCTGCGGAATAACATCCAGTGAAGACAGAACACGTTGTCCACCCCACCTGGCCCAGTCTCCCTGGTTTCCCATAGACTCCCAGTATTCTCAGTTGCTCATGAAACATTCGATCATGGAATCCCCGACCAATGGGCCTTCATGAAGAAAGCTTAGTCATAAAACCAGAGCTCCATAGCACTGAGAGGGGTGTGTGTGTGTGTGCTAAAATGGGTCCGATTCTCCTCCCCGCAACAAAAAAACTGGGGATGTTCTTTTCGGCACTATCTCCCAACAGGCTGAACACACACCCGTATGGCTCTGGATTCTAATTAGGGACCCGTTGGTGGACATCATTTAGGTGGGGTTCATGTCCACCAACCACTTGTGATGGGGTTCCTATTGAAAGTCATAGCCATGTAGAAATAATATGTTGTTCCAAACCAAATACCGAGCATCAACCCCCGCGATGCGCTTCGAAGCGCGCGCCGCCCGCACCCGATTCGCCTCCGCCAACACTCGGACCCTCGTCTCCAGGCGCTGTACCCGCTTCGAGTCCAGTACATGCCTCACTTGCGTTGCGCTTCAACTGCGTGGGACTCGAAATAAGAATCCCCAAAAAAACATAAATGCCAACCAAAGGGGGGGTCTACTATTTTGAGAAACGGCTTTGATAAACTGGCCGCAAAAAAGGCTTCCGCGGCCACATGGGCAAAAAGCGTTCATTACCGTCCCCCTGCATTGGGGAAGTTTCCCTCCAAAGCCACATGAGGACCAGCCATATCCAGCTTTCCGCTTGGCTTCCCTTTGGCTTGAAATTTTCGAATTTTCCCTGCGCAAAGGTCTGATTCAGCGCCTCCCAAGACTCACTGCTGTCTTCGTTGGACGAAGAACCCAGAACCCAATCAAAGAAATCAACCTGGGTTTCATCCGGATGGTCCAGAAAAATTTAGGCTATAACTCACCACCTTCGCTGTAAAAGCTCAGACGCCGCGCGGACGCCGCGCTCCGCTCTCCCCGCGCTGCCCGGTGGTGCGCTGGTGCGCTGTCCGACTCGACTGAGCGACTCAGCGCCGAGGCGCACGATGTTGAAGCACTGCACCCGGGTCCCAGCTGGGAGTTTCTCGGGCCAGTTCTCCAGTTGCCGCGCGCTCAGCTTGGCAAAGCCGCAGGGGTAGGACACGAAGAGCAGGTGGTCGTGGTTCTCCCTGGGCTTGAAGAAGCCAGGTACCCCCCTCCCCCCGCAATGGACCTAGGTTTGTTCTCCCTGAATTGGTCTTGGGTGATGACAAGCTGGAAAACAGCTCTCAACGGCGCACAAGGGCGGCACCAAAATGAGCGTGCCTTTCTTTGAAAGTACTCGTTTTGGGGCTGTTTGAAAGGGAGGAAACGAGGGCAAAGCATGCCCCCAATATGGAGACCAACCTCCCTATTCGAAGGGACCAGGCCAGAGGCAGGGGTTGGGTCACCATGGCAAGCTAAGGCCTCACAAGGGGCCGGTGTCCCCACAACTTGAGTCATGTGGACAAAATCCAGTTCGCACCAGTTGCTGTAGCTCAATTGTGTTTACCATCCAAATCGGGTGTCAAGTCCATCCCCACTGAAGCGATGGATTTGCAGGATGTTGAACCAGCAGCAGGATTCCAAGTGAAAGCTCCTCCAAGGGGCGTTCCAACCAAGATAACACCTCAATTGGGTGTGTGTGTGTGTTTTGTGGGAACTGCAGGTGGGGTTACAAGGAAACCAAAAGGAAAACCGAAGCCATTTTGAGGGCACCAAAAAAAAGACACCCAAATGGAGAAAACTAGGGCAAGGGGTCCCGGGTGACATTTTTATGTGGGATCTGACAGAACCGTTCCAGCCTTTTCGCCAAGCAGTCAAAGCACGAGCCAAACATCAAATGGGTGTTTCTTTTTGAGAGGACGCACACAAAATGGTGGCTCCCTCTACAAAAACATCATAAAGAAAGGGTACCAACCCAAAAACGACGCCCAAATAGTGGTTTCTGAAAAATATGGCGAACCCCTTTTAACCCCTTTTGGTTGCGAAGTTTTGCGGAAAACCAAAGGAAACCAACCGCCGAAAGAAGGAATTGGTCCCTAGAGAAACGCCTAGTGAAACCCCTTCACCTCAAGTTGCGGTGGGGGAGAAGGAACCAAAAAAAAAAAAAACTCGCGAACCGAATGAAACCAAACAAACTTCGCACAAAACGAAGAAAACCCTAGAAACCCTCAAAGAACCCCAGTAATTGGCCTCGCAGCCCAAACGGACTGCAAATGCCACCGCAAATACAATATTTGTATCGTGCAGCACTGTTTGTCCAATCATCGGGCTTGTGGCCTTCCCTAGTCTATTTCGGGAATCCCACATAAGGCAAACAACTTGGCATCGACAGAAACCTTCGATCTGCAAGCGGCAAACCAAGCCCTAGGGAGCGGGGGGGATTGGGACGCGCCAAAAGATGATCCATCCGGAGCGCTTGTAGTTGTGGCGGTGCGAGGTCTCGAACAAGCCAGCATCCTGAGCGAGAGAAAGTTGCGGTGGCCCCAATTTCTACCATGGTCCTTGTTCTCATTGCGCCCAAATGAATTGTAATTGGGTGAGACCCAATGGGTCACTTTACCACCTTGCCCATACTGTACACCGGTTTGTTCGGGTTCTCCCTTCGCATCGTTGGAGGCCATGGTGGTTGTTCTTCTGCATGGTGCCTTTTCCAAAGCCACAATGAAAGCAGGCTGCCATTGAAACCAACAACCGGTGATCCAGTCACACCCAGGAATCTGACACCCGACTTCGGCCCCCATTTGGGCCGCGATTCGCGGATGGTGGCTAGGTACTTAAGGCGGTCCTATTGGTTGGCTTGGCTTGATCCCCCAGAAAACATGAAGGAAACATGAGTCACAATCAAATACCCGGTATCAACATGGTCTACCCAGAACCATGTCAAGAATCAAGAAGGCGGCCGCAACTATTCATGGTTTGTCCCTTCCTAACCTTGTTCTACCCGGGTTTTGATGTGGCTCACAAGTCACCTTCGATCTACCGTACTCCTCCGCAGCCTGAGCTCTGGAACTCAGAGATGGGCCGCATCCATCCTACTTTTCTGTTTGACATGGCTGACGCTTCCGTTTTTGGGGGACCCAAAATTCCCCAGCTGAAAGCGTTGGGGTCTCAGCCCACTAAAAAGAGCACCGCATGCTGCTGGGGATATCACCTGAGCTTATCCTGGTGTTCTTTTGTCCTTCAAAAACCACGAAAAAAGGGCCACCGAGCCTCAAGAAGCGACACGTAGGACTCCCGCACTTCCGCTTATCCAGCCTTCGACCCCACCCCACCCCACCCTCGTTCCAGTCGCGCCGGTTGTGGACTTAGAACGGCGCGCCTTACATGCCACACCCCACGAGGGATCCAAATACTGCGGATGGTCGGATCCAAAACCAGATATCGCCACCACTTAGAAACCATGGTTGAACCAACTTATCTCTTAGCATGTCACGTTGGGGGAATCCGAGTCCCTCCAGGATTTCTTAGGTGCGACCATGGATTTCGCCTGTCAGTAGGGGACCCTTGGGATTGGTCGCAGCGCCTTCTGATTCGCCAAGCTGCCAGCTCCATGATGGCGCTCTGGTTGCACATCATGCTCTGGCCGGACGAAAACGGCCCAGGGAAACTCAGCGCCTGGTTCTGCCAAAATGGTTTTAAAAACATACAGGCTCCAAAGACCCTGGCATGATAGAATTCAGTTGTCTGCCATTGTGTGGTAGACTCGTCATTCAAAGGCACGGACCCGTTTTTTGAGGATGCAAACCCATGACGGGAAGCAAACCGTCCTACTTTACATGGCCAATGGCGCCACTCACCTCGAGCTGGAAACCAAAGCCCGTTGGGCCTACAAGACTCACATATGGCCATGGGTCAAGAGCCCGGTTAGCCCCCAGTGCACATCCCAATCCCAACTAAAATAGACTAAAATGGGTGGTGCGCCTACCCCAAAATGGTACCATTGGTTTTGACCCACAGCCATATGTTTACCCCCCATGGCGGTAGTTTGGTGATTCTGTCCTCCCCCTCTCCCCTTGCCGTGGGGGGAAATCTTAAGACCAAGACGTCACAGGCGAGCCGCCGAATGGACCAACTGGAAACCTGCAACCAGCGGGCGGCTCGCAAGAAGCGAGAGCATTGCAATGGGCTGGGCATGGGGCAAGAAAATGCCCAAAGGCGATCCACACTTTCGCCAACATCACGATCCACTTCCCCAAGGCAAGGCAACAAGCACGCAAAAAAAGGGAGAGCGGAAGGCAAACAATACAAGGAGAGCAAACCACTCCCGACCCATCCCGACCCACCCGAACCCACCCGAACCCACCCCAGCAATTACAAAGGAGGGGCATGCTTCATCCCACACCTTCCCGATATGGGAGGACGGTCGCATACGACCCTACCCGCCGGTCACATTTGACCCTACCCTACTTTGGCTTCAAAAACCATGCCAAAATGGCAGCATCAAGCTCCAATTCCACGACATGGCCACGCGAAACGCACCGGTCACATTTGACCCTACCCTACTGTGGGCTCAAAAATCAGTGCCAAATGGCAGTACTATGTTCCAATTCCACGACAGGGCCACGCGAAACGCACCGGTCACATTTGACCCTACCCTACTTTGGGCTCAAGCAACATGGCCAACTGGCAAAGAAATGGCAGCATCAAGCTCCAATTCCACGACATGGCCACGCGAAACGCACCGGTCACATTTGACCCTACCCTACTTTGGGCTTAAAATCAGTGCCAAGTGGCAATACTATGTTCCAATTCCACGGCAGGGCCACGCGAAACGCACCGGCCACAAGCGACCCTACCCTACTTTGCGTTCAAGCAACATTGCCAGCTGGCAACAAGATGGCAGCATCAAGCTCCAATTCCACGGCAGGGCCACGCGAAACGCACCGGTCGCATTTGACCGTACCCTACCTGACGGTTTCTTGCCAAATGCGTCACTTTAGGTCTTGAGGCTTTTACATCGCTTTCAGGTATAGTCATCACATCACTTTAGGGCTTTCTGGTTTGCTGTCACTTCTTTAGTTAGTCACCACATCACTTTAGGGCTTTCTGGCTTGCTGTCACTTCTTGAGGTAGTCACCACATCACTTTAGGGTTTCTGGTGCGCTGTCACTCCTTTAGGCAGTTACCACATTTTAGGGTTTCTGCTGCGCTGTCGCTTCTTCAGGTAGTTACCACATCACTTTTAGGGTTTCTGCTGCGCTGTCACTTCAGGTATAGTCACCACATCACTCTAGGGTTTAGGGTTTAGCTGTCACTTCTTCAGGTAGTTACCACATCACTTTTAGGGTTTCTGCTGTGCTGTCACTTCAGGTATAGTCACCACATCACTCTAGGGTTTAGGGTTTAGCTGTCACTTCTTCAGGTAGTTACCACATCACTTTTAGGGTGTCTGCTGCGTTCTCACTTCAGTTATAGTCACCACATCACTTTAGGGTTTTCTGGTTTGCTGTCACTTCTTTAGGTAGTCACCACATCACTTTAGGGTTGCTGCTGCGCTGTCACTTCTTGAAGTAGTCACCACATCACTTTAGGGTTTCTGGCGCGCTGCCACTCCTTTAGGCAGTTACCACATCACTTTAGGGTTTCTGCTGCGCTGTCGCTTCTTCAGGTAGTTACCACATCACTTTTAGGGTTTCTGCTGCGCTGTCACTTCAGGTATAGTCACCACATCACTCTAGGGTTTAGGGTTTAGCTGTCACTTCTTCAGGTAGTTACCACATCACTTTTAGGGTTTCTGCTGCTGCGTTGTCACTTCAGTTATAGTCACCACATCACTTTAGGGTTTTCTGGTTTGCTGTCACTTCTTTAGGTAGTCACCACATCACTTTTAGGGTTTCTGCTGCGTTGTCACTTCAAAAGGCTCCGGTCACATTTGACCCAACCTCACTCTGAAAAGGGGGCCCTTGAGTTGCTCGTTCTTTACAACGGAACAGGGGCCCCGGTCACATACGACCCTACCTCCGGTCACCTTTGTCCCTACTGGATCGTTAGATACATCGAATGCTGCGTTCCAATTCCACGGCAGGGCCACGCGAAACGCACCGGTCACATTTGACCCTACCTCACTGTCAAAAAGGGGCTCTTCAGTTGCATGTGTTACAGCGGAACAGGGGTCCCGGTCACATACGACCCTACCTCCGGTCACATTTGACCCTACCTCATCGTGAGGTAGGGTCAAATGCGACCACGTTGAGGTAGGGTCAAATGCGACCGTCCTGCCTTCCCGATATTGTTTCTCAATCCCTGCTGGTTGGGGAAAGCAACGGAGTGCTGAAACGCACTCCTGGTTGGCTCCCAGTTGCCACCAGCAAATCGAACATGCACCTTTGTGATGTTTCTGGAAAGGCTGTTGGTGACCAAATGGTCATGCATGGTGTGCAAGGCTTCTGCTTTGTGATGTTTCTGGAATGCATCGTGTGTCCTTGGTAAAAGGGAGGGAACCTTTAATGAAAGGAACTTTCTCGGTGGAATCCACAATAGGTGTCTCTTTTACGGTTGGAACCCCAAATTGGATTCCCAACATGTGTGGGGTACCCTGAAAAAGAACTCCTAAATGGTAGTCTCTCAAAATAAGTTTCAGACCCCTGATTGGGAATCTCTCCGAGACACCAAAAGGAAACCAACCACCAAGGAAGGAATTGGCTGTGTCCTTTCTAGGGGACCCCAAAATCGGGTTTTTGTTCCTTTTGGTTTCGCTTTCAACGTTCCACCCCCCCAGAAAAAAAGAAGAAAAAGAAAGAGATGTTGTTGTTCCGTTTGATTTCATATGGCCATGGGCCAAAACCCAAATCGTACCCCCCAGTGAACCTCCCAATCCAACCACTAAAATAGGTCCTAAAATGGGCGGTGTTCATTCACTTACCCACCAAAATGGGATCAACCAAAACGGTTTTGACCACCACCGCCATATGTTTACCCAACGCCCACGATCAAGACACCCTTTTGGCGGGCCTCGGACATGGGCAGCACGAACTTGGCCAAGCTGCTACTGGGCACCTGAGACTCGAGTCTCGAGTCTCAACCGAGGGAATGGTAGGCGGGGGTCGAAAGGAAAACCGCTGGAGAGTGAAAATGGGGGCAGAGGGGAGGACATGGTGGGGGGTTTGAGGAAGTCACCTTCATCTTGGCTTGATTGGAGACCAAAAGGAAAACCACCATTCGTTGGGCCCCCTTTCGTGTTGGAAGCGGAGTGTCAAGTGTGCCTGAAGCGGACCATGGGCTGATCCAACTGGAAACCATCTCAGGGTCTCACACATTGGCAAGTCAACGGCAAAGGACGCTGGGCTCGGAAGTTCGGATTCCCACCGGCGGGGAGGTGACTTTGGAAGTCTGGTGACCAATCGGCCATGCGCTCCTTCGTGTGATGAAGCCCTGCTCTAGAGCCTTTGGCAACGGAACAGGTCATTTGAGAAGCAAGCATCGCTCAGTTGGCCAAAAACAAGCACGTCAAGGGAGATGCAACAGTAGGTCGGGAATCCACCGAAGACATGTTGCCTTGACGCCTTCAGCAGGGCGAAGCCCGGGCAAAGGGTTGCGCAATCCTCTGCAGCAGTGCCTGAGGCTTCCTTGTACGCTGCAAGATTGGTCAAAAGTGTGTTGTTAAGACCCCAGAAACCACCGAAGCAGTGAATGTCAAGATGTCCTCACCTGGCTTTTCCAGGTTTCTTTCTGGCTGCCTTGGCAAACCTGGCTTTCCAGTTGCCCTTTGCGGCAAAATAGAGGCAGAAGCTCTGGGAAACCTGGCAGTTCCCTCTGCGGCAAAGGAAAGCGGATGGACAAACTTTGGATTTGGCCATGGGTCATAGAGTCACAACCTATGGCGATCCCATTTTGGGGCGGATGCACACCCATGTACCACCTATGTTGATGTTCACCCGGGGGTTCCCGGGTTTTGGACCCACAGCCATTTATCAGGAGGCGGAGTCCCCGAGTCCCCCAAAGGGGAGCTCCGGGGTCCCGAAGGCACGCGGAGAAGGCGCTGTCCCTGGACTTTCGGCCCCAGGTTTCGGCAGCGAGGGGGCTGCAGGTTTCAGGGGGGGGGGGGCGACTTCAAGCCAGGCGGTTAGGGCTGAAACCACGGTGTTTGATGTTTGGTACACAAATAACGCCCATCCATCTGCCAATTGTATGATCCCAAAACCTGAAATTAGACTTGAGTCCCTGACCCACATCATGGTGTTCGCTCGTTTTGGTGAGCTCGCCATCTAATAGGCAGATCATGTGGGGAACCTCAAAATCCTGGTCCCCTACAATGGTTGGTGCCCTTTTGGTTTGCCCTGGAATCCCAACCACAAGGGTGTCCACCATTTTGAGAAACACACACGTGGGGTCAGGAAAAACGGACTAAAAAAAAAAAATCCTTGTCATCTTCCTTTCGGTGTTTCCTCGAACTTTTGAACAAGAGTGATGAGGCGAGCCTTCAAACTGGATCTTGCATGATGTTCCTTTCTGTGTTCCCTCGAACAAAAAGACGCCGAAAGAAAGACCTCACGCTCACATCCTTGACTAAGCCACGACCGGCCCCAGGCAGAACCAAGCCCCGGGCCCCAAAGAACTCCAGCGCCTGCGGGTCGTCAAGGGGAACAGCAAAGAGTCCGTAGGGGCGGGAGTCCAACAAAAGTGGACTGATACCAAGCCGCCAACTGGTGCAGTTCGACTTGCGACTGGCGATCACACAGGAATCTGTATGTGAACATGCCGAGCTCACATATCAAATTGTCCAATGTGAGATGTCCCAATAATCAGATTGGTGACTTGCCACCCTAAACGCAGTTCCTGTGCAACAGGATCTATTCGAGCAGGGAGGGTCGACATCATGGAATCAAAATAGACTGCGTGAACGTGCGTGTGCAGCTCCAATCCTGTCATGACGCAAACAACAACTGGGCACGTTTTTGAGGTTACCTCTTTTGGATGGTTCTAAAGAAAAACCGGACGGATACCACAATGTTTGGGCACCTTTTCAAGATTTCGGTCGACTCCCACGCACAAAAGGATGTTCTGCACTGTGCCCGTGGGTAGTTGCCCCAAAATCAGTTTGGATCCAGGAAACTCGACATCCCTTTGCAGCGTCAAGAGGAAGAACTAGTCTCAATGGTCCACACGAGATCGTGGGTGCCTGACCAGCCGTGAGTCACACTCAAACCCGGGCAAGTGAAAGGAACAGCTGCAGCCGACGTGGGCAGACCAATTGAGTACTAGGCTTTGATTCTCACTTTGGGGTCTTCAAGGGGAACCCTCAATTTCCGGCCTCTTTGCTATGGGTTTCCCTTTTTTTGAAACGCCAGAACGGGTTTCTTTCCAGGATTGGGTTTTGGCGTCAGCTTACGGAACTGACAGGATTCAGAATCTGGCAAACAAATTGTCACGCAAGCCATGGGCAGAAGGAAGCATCCAACTTGCAACATACAACTCGGCTCGCCCATTCCTTTTCAAAGACTTTGTTATAACTATAACTCTAGGGGTTTCTTCCCCATTCTTTCCAGGGATCCTGCTTTTCAGGAAACCAGCAAAAACCCAGGGGAAACGGATCCAGTGTTTGAAAAGAAGGATGGTTGAAAAGAATGGAAAAGGAATCAACCCCTAGAATAACCCTGAGAAGACTATTTCGACTTCTCCATTTCTCCATCCCCTACCTCTTTATCAATAGTTGGGGATGGAACGGAGAGAAGATGGCAAGGATACGATTTTAATATTTGTATGTGAGGTCTCTAGGTTAAGGAAGAATTCTGAATATGCATTGAGTGGACATTACATGGTGAGATTGTAGAGATGATTTAGATTATTTCCTTTTCTTCATCCAAAACAGTTTTGTCTACGAATGTCTTCTGTCAGGTAGTCTTAGGGAATCCATCAGAACCCGGCCTTCTTTTTTCCCGAAAGCATGGCGAAGGGTTCTTCCGCTGGGTTCACTTGAGTTGTTCTCATGAGAGTCATTACAAGGTGTCATTGCAAGGAATCATCATCATGAAAGTCAATGCAAGGAGTCATTGCAAGGAGTCATTGCAAGGAGTCATTGCAAGGAGTCATTGCAAGGAGTCATTGCAAGGAGTCATTGCAAGGAGTCATTGCAAGGAGTCATTGCAAGGAGTCATTGCACGGAGTCATTGCAAGGAGTCATTGCAAGGAGTCATTGCAAGGAGTCATTGCAAGGAGTCATTGCAAGGAGTCATTGCTAGGAGTCATTACAAGGTGTCATTGCAAGGAATCATCATCATGAAAGTCAATGCAAGGAGTCATTGCAAGGAGTCATTGCAAGGAGTCATTGCAAGGAGTCATTGCAAGGAGTCATTGCAAGGAGTCATTGCTAGGAGTCATTGCAAGGAGTCCTTGCTAGGAGTCATTGCTAGGAGTCACTGCAAGGAGTCATTGCAAAGAGTCATTGCAAAGAGTCATTGCAAGGAGTCATTGCAAGGAGTCATTGCAAGGAGTCATTGCAAGGAGTCATGAGAGTCATTGCGAGCTGCGCATGGAGTCAAGTGCAAGTTGCAAGTGCAAGGAGTCAAGTGCAAGTTGCAAGTGCAAGGAGTCAGGTGCAAGTTGCAAGTGCATGGAGTCAAGTGCAAGTTGCAAGTGCAAGGAGTCAAGTGCAAGTTGCAAGTGCAAGGAGTCAAGTGCAATTGACTTGCGAGGAGTTAAAATCTCTTCTTAGGGCGGCGGGGTAGTGCCGACGACACTACACGAAAATCGACCCTCTGCGGGGATCGGCGTGGTCGAGGTGCAAAAACCCATGGTTTTTTGCGATTTCTAAAGTTCCCGCGCGACCCTCTGCGGGGATCGGCGTGGTCGAGGTGCAAAAACCCATGGTTTTTTGCGATTTCTAAAGTGCTCGCGCGACCCTCTGCGGGGATCGGCGTGGTCGAGGTGCAAAAACCCATGGTTTTTTGCGATTTCTAAAGTGCTCGCGCGACCCTCTGCGGGGATCGGCGTGGTCGAGGTGCAAAAACCGATGGTTTTTTGCGATTTCTGCGGTGCTCGCGCGACCCTCTGCGGGGATCGGCGTGGTCGAGGTGCAAAAACCCATGGTTTTTTGCGATTTCTGCGGTGCCCGCGCAACCCTCTGCGGGGATCGGCGTGGTCGAGGTGCAAAAACTCGATGCTTTTTGCGACTTTTGTTGTTCGAACTGGTCCTCGGGAGTTGTCTCGTGGTTCGCGCGCCTGCTCCCGGAACCGGCGGGTCGCGGGTTCGATTCCTCCCTGGTCCGCGGGCGGGCGTCGCAAGATGCAACTTGCATATTAAAGCAACTTGCGCAGCAGAGCAAGTTGCACAGAGCAACTTGCGCAGACCAATTTGCACCGACCAGTTTGCGCAGAGCGCCTTGCCTAGAGCAACTTGCGCAGAGCAACTTGCGCAGAGGAACTTGCGCAGAGCAACTTGCTCCGATGTCGCGCGGTCGCGGGTGCGATCCCCGCCTGGTCCGCGGCAGCTCTGGCTGCACGCAGGTCCAGCTGAAAGTCGCAAATTTTCAGTGCAAAAGTAGTACGCGGAGTACATTCCCGCACCTCCAGCTGCAAAATCACAAGAGTAGTACGCGGAGTACATTCCTGCAGCTGCAGCTGCAAAACTTGCGCCGAGCAACTTGCGCCGAGCAACTTGCGCAGAGCAGCTTGCGCAGAGCAGCTTGCGCAGAGCAACTTGCAGAGCAACTTCCGCAGCGTAACTCGCGCAGAGCAACTTGCACGGAGCACTTTGCGCAACTTGCGCAGAGCAAGTTGCACAAAGCACTTGTGCAGAGCAACTTGCGCGCAGGGCACGTGCCCAAGCAGCTGTTGCGTGCATATGTGCGTGCATGCGTGCGCGCGGTTGCATTTTTCTGTTGGTTTGTGTGTGTGTGTGCGTGCGTGTGTATGTGTGTGCGTTTGTGTTTGCGCTTCCTGCGGGTCTGTGCGTGCGTGCGTGAATGAGGAGCGAACTGTAACACTTGTTTTTTTGTCTGGCAAATCATGTTCTTTTTTCTGGCAAATGGGTGTGGGTGCGAGGACAGGTGCTGATGGCCAACATGGTCCAGCTGGTGGCACGAGCTCTGGTTCCTCGCAGTTTCCTCAACCTCCACGCGGAAGCCTAGGGCAGTCT